AGCACCGCTGGCTGCGGTCCATTGCCCGTGTGTGGTGGCAGCACCACGTAAGCAATGTGGAAGTTAGACAGCGTGTCTTGGGACGTGGAAGCCACTCGCTCGAGGAGCTCATCTCACTGCATCAACTGCGGTGGTTGGGACACGTATTGCGCATGCTTGTCCAGCGTTACCCCCGTCGTGCGTTGTTTGCACTTGCTGGACAGAGCTGGAAGAGACGGTCTGGTGGACAGCCTACAACATGGAGAAGCCGCATGAAAAAGTTGACGAAACAATTGGCCTCGGCCGGTTGTTGTCGACTACCTGGTTGGGGTCCGAGAGATGAGGATATTTGCTGGTTGAAAACCTTGGAAGTTATGGCTCAAGATCGATGTCAATGGCGGACGTGTGCATCAGTGTGTTGCGGTGTCCCTTCCTCCTCCCCCTAAAAAAGAACAAACTGAAAAAATTTCAAAAACCGTGAGTGATAAACTTGACAAAAAAACATTTCTTGTTGCTCTTTTCTTATTATTCATATTGTTTTCCTATTCAGCCATGATTCCGATGGCACAATATCTGTACCACAGATTGTGTATAATATAATATATTGGTCTCACCACCTCCTCTTCCAACCGCACTCCCGGCGCGCAAACAATGCACGTCGCGGGAGTCGGCGTGCTGGCATGCGCAACACGTGGCCCAGCCATCGGAGCCTGGTGCGTGACATAATGGTGTTGAGCGGATCACTAGCTCTTTCTGCACCAAATAGGCGACGCTGAACACGCTCACAGTTCACGACGTGCTCCCACCAGACATGAGCAAAGCTGCGGAGGTAGCGATGATCGAACGTCGCTATCCACTTTATGTCTGTCGACCTGATGGGTCAGGTTTCACAACTGTATAAGAGGGTTGAATGGACGGCTGCATTGTAAACTCTGCCAAAACCCTCACTCTGCTCGAAGAATGCACGTACAGCGCATTGATAATGTTTACATATTTATCGGGCAGACTTTTTCTCAGCAGGCAGTCCAAAAGGGTACATCAATTCACCGAATCGAAGACACCTTTGACGTCGAGAAACACGACGTGGGTCGCCAATAAACATGGCGGTGCTCCAACAATTGACGTAAGATGAAGATGTGGTCGATGCAGCGCTGACCTCGACGAAACCCGGCTTGCTCTTTACGAATCTGGCTTTCGCGAGCGCCAGTCAATCTGTGGAGAATGACAGATGCAAGCAATGTAGGGGCAATTGAGATCAGACTGATCCTTTTATGGTTGCAGCATTCCGAACAGGAGCCCCCCTTGGAAATCGGAACTATGAAACAGCGGCTCCAGTCTGTCGGGACAGTTTCCTGCTCCCTAAGTTCCATTAGCAACTCTTGCAAATCATCTAGAAGAGCAAGTCCCCCGAATTTGTAGAGAGCTGGGGGAATTCTATCTGCACCAGCGGCCTTATGCAATTTCAAATGTTTGATCTTACGTTCCACTTCTGCGCGTGAGGGCGGATCTATGACGGCTCAGGAAGAAGGACATTCAATGCCCGAAAGAGAAAGCGATAAGTCAGATTGGTTAAATTGCTTTACAGTGGTCGGCCCAACGCTCCAAGCGTTTTGACAAGTTGTGGATCGCCTGTCCACTCTCGCCGGGTATTGTCACGCTAACATTAGGTCTTCTGCTGCCTATTTATCGTATCAGATGGAATAAGTTACCATGATTACCAACAGCATTGGCTTTTTCCGTTTCTGATGCACGATGATACTACCAGGCTTCGCTGTCACTCTTTAGGCTAGCAGGCAGTTTTGCCCTGAGATTTTAGCGAGTCTCATTGTATTTACTTCCGGCTGGAATACGTCGGTGAGCATCCATAAGTTCCAGAGACTTTGTAGAGACCCAATGCATAGGTTGGCAATTTGATTTGCTACATGAATACATGCCTGCTGATGGTAACGTTTGACGAATATGGGACCAGCGATGTGGTCGCTCAAAAACAACGAAACGGCACAACTCATCGTGCTTTTTCATAAGACTGCAGATGTGGGTAAAGGTTACACGCGCGAGGCTGAATTGCGAGAGACCGATTTATCCGAATTCGCGATCGTGTTGTAATTACCCGAAAAGTTACAATACGTAGGTTTGTTTTTCCCTCACCAGTTCGCCGCTTTAACTCGATGATGGCACACTTGAGGCGCTCCCGGTCAGCTGGATCGATATACAGACGACTTTCAATCTACCCAGCCTAGACAGTATTAGCTTCGGACTGGCCTCGTCAGCAAAAGTTACTCGCTTAGGTCGGTCTTCCTCAGCAATGTTTTTGCCGAGGCGTATGACTTGCTTCACTTTCACTCCGTCCTCACCCACATCGAGGAGCTTATCAACCAGGTTCTGTAGAAACTCTGCATCATGATCATAGCGTGCCTGAGGGCTTGGATCGTTGGACTCAGGCGCGTGAAAAAGCATCAGATTAAGTCGCCTCTTGTCATTCAAAGTGGTTCTTGTGGGAGAAGGGTGGACTCGACCGTCGCTTGATCTGGCCTGTTGTTGGTCAGCAAAAGGAAGGTTTTCTTCGTTTCACGGCTTCTTCCGCCGTAGTTATACACAGCTCCACATGCATTAGATATCAATTTGCGTCATTAGAGCTAGCAGAGCGCAAGGTTAGTGGATCTTTAGCCTTCGTTAGTGTCGTGTCTCCGGAACCATTAGGATGGCGAGGTAATGCGTTTTCAGAGGGCGTTGAATGGGAGGAAGGCTGGATTTAACCTTGGATGAACTGTAGGCTAATTTGTGGGACGGTAGGTCTAGAACTGCTCACAGTTAAACGTTTTTGGTCGCGACCGACATCGGCAGACGTTATACGTTTCTCAGACGTTCTCAGATTGCGACATATGTTGCACAAAATTTAGATGAAATCATGTTGGATGGAACGCAGAAAACGATAGGAATCGGTAGGTAGTCCAACACAAAACCTATGAAGTCTAGCACAACAATCAAAGCATGTAAGCGTTTTTGCTGTACTTCCAATAATTTTCAAGCAGGAACCACGAAGTGATTTCTTCGGCATATTGGAAAATGATGTCAAAGTGCCGTGACTTGTGAAAGTAGAATTTGCAAAACGGAACTACGAAATCTGTGGGAAGATATGATAAAATATGATCCGGAAATGGCAGACTCAAAAATCAAAAGCGAAAGATTGCGAAATTTCCACAAAATAATTCCGATATGCCGGGAAATTCACAAGAGAGCATACTGACAAAACAGCCACGGAATAAGTCAACTGAGTATGCTGTACAGAATGATCATACAACACATTTGGTCTGCGTCTCGCACCGTTGAGAAATATACAATTTATTTATTTATTTAATGTGCTGACAACAATTCTACTCGCATGGGTGCTCATAAACAACCAACCACAATTGTTTCCTTAATCCGAAGACTGCCTATGCTTTTGGTAACTGCAAGTGTTTGTGATGGTGCGCATATTGGATAATGTCTTGGATAATTCGAACAACATCGTGACCTTGCACAAGTGCACAGCAAACTCATTACTGAGTTCACTATGTCAAGTGAGGTGCGTAAGGGCTACATTATCATTTACGGTTTTCTCAACCTAGTGATCGAGATGATCATTAATAAATCTCCCTCTTTCTCACTTCGCTTATTTCGCTTTAGGTGGCGTCTAAGATCTGTTTGATGATGGGCTTTCCGAAGCAGTGTGCCGGTCGCAAAGCTCTCTTTGAGACGGATGCAGCTGCCGTGTGAGCGCTATTGAACAAACAGTCGGGTAGCGAAAAACGCTTCGGAATGTGCCACGAATCTCCAAGGCGCCAAATACTGTTACTGGACTGGGCTGACTCACTTCTATTTCTCGCCTTAAGTGATGCATCGGTTAACTTACCTGGTTACCTGCATCACCTTCTGCAGTTGTATTACCGAAGAAGCTATTACGAGTAGTAATAGTTTGTGTGACCTTACAAGCCGTGTCAATAATGGAGACGGCAGAGTTTAAGCAGAGAGGTAAATGGGGGGTTGCTATGCTACAGTATGACCGCTTTGTGCAGTAAAGATAAAGAGACTGGCCGTATCAGTCTTCGAAGTTGACTACGTGGGGTGGGAGCACCGTCATCTGGTGCCTGTTCAACTCGGAGCGCCTCTGCTGATTTGGCCATGCGCTTTACATACCAGTAAACCGACTGCTTCGAGGTGTATTGCCAGCTAATGACAATACACAAGAGCAAGAAGAGATTTATCGGGAATCTGGATTGGGTTAGTGAGTGCTTTCCTGTATGTAATTCCCAAGATCGGTTACAAAAATGGTTGGCTATCATATCCTGACGTGGTCAAGCAGTCTGACATATCTCATCCCGATTTACTCCATGTGACGAGCTTGATTCATGTCCATTCCTCCTGAATAATTGCTCTTTATCATCATTACGTATCATTTGTACACCGGTGTTGAAGTTTCTGAATTCACTGTACCTAGATGCACGGAGCAAAGTTAGAAAGATGAACCGAGCTAAGTACGAGAATAGTAAACGCATCGCTTCCCGCACCACTACAATTAGCGATGCGATGGCAGACAATTTCTGACTGAAATTCCTCCTAACAAAATAAAGCGAGACGGAGTTCTAGTCCGGCCTCAGTAATGCAGTCCATATGCTGATGAGCAATAAAGAAGTATACAGGTGATTTTATTGCGTTTTGATGGGAGATGCAACTAGGATGGTGCGGAGATGGTGTAAGTAACTTAAGCTCGGCTTAGAAAGTACGTCCCCATAAGTGTGGTCCATCAGGCGTGACAGATAATGACTTTGACGGTACTAAGCTAAACAAATTTGTGGTTACCAGCTTGACAATTTTGCAAGAGATATACAAGAAACGCGGTACATGGCTCTGTCCGGGGCAGAGCACTGCAGAAAACAAATAAATAAATGAATTAGGATAGAGATGTATAACCGTCGTATGCTGAATCTAAATGTTGTAAATGTGAACCAGTAGATCTAGCGAAAGATAAGAGGAAAACGGACCTCTTGTCTGCGCCAAAACTGTCATCAGTCAAAGTTAGTGAGGCTGCGGTCACATCCACAGCGAACCGGTTTATCGAGCCAGATACGCTCAATCCGAGTTCTTGAGCCTCGTCACCACGGCTGTACGGGATGAACAATTCAAGGTTTCGAAGATCATCTTCTTGATTATCGTTCGTTGGATCCACCAATGCGCTTCCTGTCCGGTTACATGTTTGATCGAGCAAAGATGGCTGTGAACGTACGAGGGAAGCATTGAGGCATTTAACAGAATTTCTAGTGCATGGGAAAAGCAAAGAAGAGCTAAGCGACAGGAAGATACATACAACGAAAAGGATTTGCGCTGCAGCATGAAAAATCATCGGACGAAACATAAAGTAATAAATGCAGCACGAAACCAAAGGGGAGTTATTCACCTTGTTCGCTCCTTTTTTATCAATGCACAGTAGACGTGCCTCGTGACGAGATATGATAGAAGAGTGGAGCTGTCGCTTCCTCTTCATCATATCGTAAGCTGCAGTGTTATGTTGGCGGCCAAGGGCTTCAAAGATCGTCTGTCGGACAAAAATGGAAATAATGTTGTAGTAATAGGTCGTGATCAGCAGCGCAAGTAAGAAAAAACAGTAAAGGCGAAACGAAGTTTGGCTAAAGCAGGTCACCACATAAACAAGTGCGACTTGAGAAAAGATCCAAAATAAAGAAATTCGTCGTGCAATGCATCAACATGTAGCAAAAAAGAAAACAATCTGCTAATGTCATCACGTACCAAGAACAAGATAGAGAGATGGGATACAATACTTAAAAATAACCCCTTCGTACACGAGCAAGTATTTTGATCCGACAAATTGTTGTTTTGGTTGATAGTGATAACTTAAATTTCTTAACATAGTGAACGGAAGATTGTGATCTTTTATTGTTAAGTATGCAAATGACAGTGTGCAAATTTGTACGCAAAATTTTAAAATTAACTTTTGTACTTGTGTACATATGTACACATTGTGTAGGAAGGGGATAAAGCAACAAGCAGACGGAGATAGGGTACATACGGCTGGCGGCTTCTGGTTCCGGAGACACCTGTCACTGCGGTCTCCATAGAACAGTCACAGTACGTCTGCGGCTACAGATAGGGGGCTTGCACCGCACTATATATATATATATATATATATATATATATATATATATATATATATATATCACCCTATAGGAGATACGTTTGAGATGTAGAAAAATGGCTCAAAGCTCGTGGTGAACTAGGATAAGGTGGAAATGAAGATCAGACAGACTGAACAAGTAGTACTTAACGTTGTGTGTGTGACATCACATGGGGTAGCAATCCAATGTGAGGAATGGCCTATGTTAAAGAAAAGTGCTAATATCAGTACGACGCATAATGCCAAAATCTACAAAAAAGCAAGCAATGCCTAAGATTTACCGGGAGCTTGACACTTCGAATGGTCGACAAAATGCCACTTTCAACTTCATCATCCGAATTGGCTGCAAACGGATAATAGAAACTGGTTTCACAGACAGGAATATGATCATAGCAATTCCAAAATCTCAAACCTGGAAATTCAAAAGTGGTAGTAGATTCTAAATGTGGAAAAAGAAACGGTTAAGTTAGTTTACGCGCGATAAACGGGCAAAACTCGATACCCAGTGGATGATTAAAATTACAAATGCAATGAACAGAAACATACGTACGAAAAATTGGATGGATCGGCAACGTCGGAAACATCCTACGGAGTTCTTTAGCTCGCCGGACAGACTCGCTTGAAGGTTTCGGGCGAGTTGCTACAAACCGCTTCATGGAGTTTAAACACGTTTTGATCATTGAACGCTGATAAAAATAAATAAAAGAGCAAGGACGACGACATGGTGTCGTAAGGGTGGAAAGCAAATTACCTAGTGATTGGTATGCATTTGTGCAAAGGAAGAAAGCTGCCGTTAGAACAGACAAATGAGCAAGATGGTAACCCACGTGTATGGTCGGAGTCGAATCCGAGCGTGATAGACTATACTACCCTGAGCATGGTAAAAACATGAAATAACGAAACAATGAGATGAAAAAACGCGAAAGAGTTAACAAAGAATTGAGTAGGGTTAATGTGTCGTAATCCGAGATGGAGACTCGATGTTGACCACATGAAGTGTAAAAGACCATAGGAAACAGCGCAGTGGAGAAATCATTAGATCTCGTGAATTTAGTCATGTCGTCCTGATTTTCAACTTTACCAATGGATGGCTGCAGTATTTCTAATTGACATGTTTAGTTGTGCGATTAGTTCTATTAAATGCAAGATTTGGCCTTGACAAATTTCAAGATAGCAAGAAAGGAACAACATTTCAAAAGGGTACCGTGAATTTAGACATCACAAGTATATGCGTTAGCTGTTAACATACAATCCGTGAAATAATAGTACTGCATTTAAAAGGAAAAGAACGTTCAAGGCCATACAATTTAAATTTGACACGATCAGAGAATCATAACAAGGAAATGCAAAACTGGTCATAAACTCAGTATGTGTACAAATTGAGCTAGAACTGTCGAAATGCTGAAGCTCCAGCAAATTGAGGCAGGCAATCATTACACTGTCGGTAAATTATCTTGAGTGGTTCATAGGGATTTTGACATATGGAGCAGTCGAGAATGTGTTGAGAAATGGAGGGAGCCAGCAGCTTGGGACTATTCGCGACCTTTTTGTGTGGATCGTGTAACATTATTCTACGAATTGTGTCTTAACAGCTGATGAGAAGACCCAAAATATCTGAATTCAGAGTATAATGTTGAAATGTTCCTTTTTGATATTCGTCTTTTCTGTTGCTCACTGCTTCGTTGTTAGGTAGTGCTATCAGGCTCCCTACAATCGTGCTTTCCAATGGAGGTGTCACACAAGTAGGTTGGGAGATTCCCGACCAGTAGTGACTGCGGGATGCGTGTGCAGTTAACAGAGACGTAAGCGGAGCATGTAGACTGTCTGTTGCATGCTAAGGTCATCAGCACGGGAGTGGTACGAACTTTGACTTTTTCGCCGAATTTGGGAATCGAGTGCGAATGGATCGGACAGCCAACACAAGCCCGTGTCAATGAAATCGAACTATTCCGTCAATATGTCAAACTTGTGGAACGGAATGCGCTCACACTGGCTGAAAACCGGAAGCAGAAGAGTGGGTGACCTTGACCTCTAAACATGCAAGTTTCAGTTACCAATAAATAAATATCTTGCAGAGATACTCTCTCTGCCTACCGAGTTTTGGTCTTCTGTATTCCTTCCGTTGGCTGGGCGTGTGACTTGGCAGTGGCAGTCTCACCGGTGAAGTAAGGCAGCAGTATAACAGTAGTGTTCCAAACTAATGTGTGTATGCTCAGGATATAAAGTCCTACCGGCTAGTAGCTACAGAAAGGTGAAGGTTCAAAAATGATGGAATTGATAGGATAAAGAAATCCTACCAAATCGACGTTACAATTGACCAGAGTTTGCACCATATTGCCCAAAGCTCCTCCTAGCAGACTACGAGGGGGTCTACCCAAGTAATCGTTCATGGAGTTCATGGGAATAGGTCCGTCAGTTTGGAGGCTTCTCCCCAAAAATACGAATACGTCAAGCAAGTAGGCGAGCTCATCCGGAGCGACAAGCGAATGAGCTGATCCAGATCGGTTATTTCGCGCTACACGACCTGTAAAGATACGAATAAATGAACAGAAAAGAATGAAAAGCGCATAAAGTCCCTCGAGAACGATACGGTTCAAGGTAAGGGCTGACACCTACAAAAAATAACCGAGTTTGGTTGTCGATGACTCAGTATAAAATTTACAAATGAAGACGATATGAAGATAAGTACAAAACAAGGAAAATAAAGTGACTTGATGACAAACACTTATTACTCGGTGGGTAGGTAGCAGTCAGCGGATTTAAAAGTAAAATTAATCAGCTTACCGACGCGATGCAGGAAAAGCTTCGGCTGTGGTGGAAAGTGGAAGTTAATAACCTTATCCAGAAGTGGTATATCTACACCACGCGCAGCAACATCGGTGACCAAGAGGACGTGCAAGTGCCCGGAGTGAAACTGATGAAGAGAGCTGCTTCGAGCAGCAGTATCCATGCCAGAGTGGATAGAAGAGCAGGAAAATCCGGAAGCTGTAAGCAACTACAACAAGACGGAGTGAAAAAGGTGGTGTTAAGACACAAGGCAAGAAAAAAAGGACGCAAAAGTGACTAGCGCAAGTTGTCGCGAGCAGACGCTGCATGACGCATACTAGACAAGAAGGACAAAATATTGTGGCGCTTAAAAAAGCCGAGTGTAGAAGTATGGGTGATGTATCTGCCATGTCCTAATAGCCTGGGAAAATAGTTCATGGTGGGATACATGAGTAACGGATTAAATGATCTATTTAAGTAAGGCGAGAGTACAGTTTGGAAAGAAGATATGAAAGAAACTCCTGTTAGATAAGGTATTCATTGTTCGATGAGTCAAGCGCACGCAATGAGGTCTGCGCCAATATCGTATTTGGTGAACCGAGGAGAGATCTCTGTCGGAGTCTGGTGTGAATTCAAATGGATCTCGATACCGCTGTTTGTTCCTAGTTGGCGACAATGGGAACTACTGACCAAAACGACCGCCTGGGTTCAAAGGCTATCTATGCTGAGCGATAAACACCACTCCACTCCGAATCCCGATAAGCTAGAAAACGAGAAACTTGCTAAAGTTTGGTGTTGTATGAAACCGTGGATCTAGAAGAGAAAAACGGATCGGTGTACTGTCATATGGCAATGTCGAAAGATTCAAGTCACATTAGTGTAAATCATGCTGGTGAAATAAAACAGCGATTTTGATGAAGCAAAGCAGTCATTTTAGAGGAGCTGACTTCCTTAGCTGCTTCCTATATATAGAGTGCTACCTCTAGCTTGTTTTACTCGGATTTCGCTGCGGTGATTTTAGATAGATTCCGATAAGATTGTTCTGTTGATGAGTGTGACTGCTTTTCATCCACCCCAGCTTCCGGCCGAATGGTGATCTTATATGGAATAGCAATAGCTGGGGTGGCCCTGACACCGAACGGAAATCTAGTACAGTCGAACCCGTTTTAATGCCTACCATCGGGATTTTCCAAAGTGGACCATAAAGTGAGGTAGGCATTTAACTGATATTGCCATTTTTTCTAAAAGGGAAAGATCCATTGAATCATTGTACAGTCTATCACTTGAATGTTAACGTGTTAGAAGGATAAGATAGGTACTTGTAACTTAAGCCTAGGAAACATTTATTCAGAAAAGCATGACCCATCATTTAAAAAATTATAACATACAACGTCTTATCTGGATAGCTATAGAAACTGGCGTTCCTGTATATTTTTACTGAGAAAACAACCCAACATCAGCTGTACACTACTTTTAGCTGCTACCCCTGTCATTTTGTCACTGATGAAGTCCAATTAAGACAAGAAATCGTTGCTTAGCCCATGCAAAAGTCCGTGGCTATAAAGATCATTCACACAATTCTTTGCTCTTGAATGTGACACGCGCTGATTGCTGTCACCCACGGAGACATGCGGCACGTCATCCTCTGAGTGGCTGCCTACTTTCTGTTCTCTTAAATTTTTTAGACAACTTTGTCTTCGACCGTTGTCAGATTTGAGGTACATTTCACATCGTTGTCAATGGTGACGGACTCTTCTGCCTTGATAACTGGGATTGTGCAAGCGCTGATCTCTTCCTCAGCGATTACGGCATCAGCAGAAAGTGCATCGGATGCCAGGCGACTGAAGCCAGCATGCCGAATGCAAGCTTTTATTGTTGCACCGGTAAGCTGTCTCCAACTTTCTAAAACGAACTTAATTGCATTGAGCACAGAACTCTTGGCGCTGACATCCACTGCCGGCGACGAGCTAGATTACACGTTGTTTCCGATGTATAAGGAATTCGGTCCAGAATTTCCTTTCCGTAACGGATTTTCAGATTCATAATCACACCTCGGTCAATAGGTTGACCGAGGCCGTGATTGCCAGCAAAAAAATTCTATTTGAATGTTTTCAGGCCTTCCAACTGTGGATCCAAGAGCAACATAATATTTCGGCCACTTTGGACCAGCTCCTTAGCGAACTCGATGAAAAATGCTTTCGTAGTCTATGCATTTTTTTTAGCTTTGTAAGTTGCGGGAAGTGTGTTCACGTTCACGCCATTAAAACATCGTGGTTTATTACTTTTACCAAAATAGTTTTGTTAACCGTGCTTGATCTATTCGCGCAGTACAGGAGTGTTATTCGTTTCATGACTTTTTACGATTGGCTGAGCTTTCCGGTAAAAAAACATAAACAGCCTTCTGGAGTTGCTCGGTAAAAAGGTTTGTTTCGCCTGTATTGCACATGTCATCATTAAATGCGTTTAAAGTTCAGGCAGTCGGTCTTTCAGCCAAGTTTCATAGACTGTTCTGTCCGCTGAACTCTTTTCGCCGTGCGCACGTTTATACACTAGTTGATTACTATTCTTCCATATTTGCAACCATCTTTCTGTGTTAGGTAAGGATTTTCCAAGCATTCGCCCAAATTCTTTTGCCACTTTTGCTGAAGAGGACTTGTAACTGGTTGTGCTCACGAACCGATATCATGCAACTACAATTTCTTAACCCTTTCCAGATCGCTTCATTTTTTAAGAGCTTGCAGTGCCATGCGACAAATTCTGCCGGAGTTGTTTTCGCTGACAATCAACCTGGCTAGGGTACGACGAGAAGTGTGTAAATCACTCAACAACTTGGCATGCGAGGTCCCTAGTGGATAAGTTTTAATTTTATTTAAAACATTCAATTTTTCTGTCAAGGATAACTTTTCTGTTACTGCCCAGAATTATGGTTAATTAATAGAGTAGCGACAAATTTGGAGCGGAAAGACCACCCGAACTTGCTCAGTGCTGGAGTTTCGAATACGGCAGACGGCTTGCCCCCACCCGTCTGTACATTTAGCTTGTTCGTGTATTGAATGACATAGGTAACCTTTTCTGATCTGTCTATAACGCCGCCGACGTTGTTCTTGACTCAATCGGACTGGCTAACTGTGAGGTAATCGTAATAAAAGATAGTCAGAGCGAGGGCGTAAAAGTGACAAAGCGACAAGAGCACAGCCCACGTAGCTGGGCAATTAAGCAGTGGGACGACTCCGGTAATGGCCAATTATATAGTAAAATGTAGCATATTTATGAGAAAATAATTCGTATTTTGAAAAAAACTGGGTAATAGAGCGGGTTCGACTGTATATCGAAAGAGACCGCGGTGGGTAATGATCGTGACTAATTCACAAAATTCCAGTGACACTTCGATTTTGAGATACTCTCCCATCAGGCTTAGGTTGCTGAACCAAGTGCCAAAATGAGGAGTGTGGTGAACAAATTTACTTTGATTAGGAGCAGATAGCAACTACACCCCAGAGTAGCGTTGAGACCCGTGGAAAAATCGGCACATAAGCTGATCAAAGCGCAAGTGAACAGATTGCGAGACATCACTTTCCTGCAAATACTTGAGTTACCGGATGACAAAAGGCAAAGCAATGCGGGGCATTAGACTTATCGAGTGGAAGACCGGTTGGCTGTCAGGCCGGTGCTGAAGTGCAGTCTGAGTGTGAGTACAGAGAAGAATATCATGCTAGAAAAAACGAAAACCAGCGGGTGATCTCTATGGCGCGGCATAGTAATGCACTAAGTTGCAGTTGGAGCAAGTCAGTAAATCTGGGAAACTAAGTGACTTAAGCCGGTCGGATTCGAGGAGATAGGATCAGAATCCGAAACGTATCAGGTGGTCTCAAAAATGTGTATTCAAAAAGTCACCGCAAGCGTTGCTTGCTGTTTGGGTGTACACTTGAGCCACGAAACTGTCAAGTGATTGCCAGAACCTTTTCGGAATGAAGACAACGTCTGCGTCTGCGTCCAGTTAAGAGCAGGCAAGATGACCAATAATGTGAACCCAGGCATAATTACTGGAATTGATTCAGAATGTGACGACTGAACCGGATGAATCGGCTCTCTGCGAGAGTTGGGAAGTAGGACAGATCTGTCCCTACAACTTGGCGGCGATCATCAGAAATGTTAACTGTACCCGACTGTGTGGCAAACGTCACGTTGATATCTGAAAGGATGTACAACTTATGATACCAACAGGAACCATAGTAGCGATAGGTTGATGGAAACCTCAAAGAATCGGTAGATCAATAATGGTTTACAGCGCTTTTGACTTCTGCTTGAATTGGACAGCGGGGACAAAGGAAACAAAAGGCGAACGAGATGTCTTGTTTGATCGGTACAGGATCGTGCTTTGGTTAAGCAGCGATCCGCACTCGAGCATCAAGTGCATAATGCCGGATGACAGATAGAGCTTGGCCAGTTATTTGGTTCAAAAGCCACAGAGGAAAATCAAGGATCGGAACTGGTACTTGCTATATGTATACGTACATAATTGAGGGTTTTAGCATCACAGCTTATAAATCCAGTGAAATTCAGCAAGTTCGGAAAAACAGTAGATGCCATTTCGTTTTATAGGACGCCCATAATGTCATTCATCGGCTGCACCAGGGTCCAAACCAATGAACACTAGCGGCTTGCATTGACAGCCCGCAGATAACGTCAAAAAGCTATGTGAAAGATTAGCTAGTCGTCAGAATTTACAAGCCAACTGCGATAAGAAGAGTCTTACCTTTCCCTGTCCTGCAAGTTACGAAATTTGCAAGGGCCTTCGTTTGCCTCGAGAGACAAGGCACCCACTAGCAGTAAGTATGTCCGACTTAACACACAGAGACCGTTGAAGCGGATACTGAGATATACTCATGAGTAGGAACATTTGATGACGCGCTACGTCGCAGCCAGCTTGTAAATCATAACGGTCCACTGCCGCTCTTCATGGATTACTAACATAAGCTGCTCAGTAGCGGGGCAAGCCGTTAGCGTTTGTGGGTTCGAACCCGGATGGAGCCAATGGATGCGGACTACTGAGCAAACCCACAGGGCGAAAAGGCCGCCTATATCTTCTCCAGCATGTGAATGGCTAGCTGGTATGGAAGATGTTACGACTAAACCTACCTTGGTGAGATAAAAAAATCCTGCACTAAGAGGAGGTGATATTGCTAATTGGATGCACCCATGGAGTGGTCACGGGCACCTGCTCGATTA